TTAAAGTTATTTCTTTTTTCTTTATTCGCTATTTCAGCAAGTGACATAAATTTTTACCGTTATTGAAATGAATCATACATTTTTTTGTGACAGATGATCTAAATGGCGATATTTTTTACATTCTCCTCTCTAGATTTTTTAAAAATTATGAACCCAGAACTGGGTCCTATTGACCACTTCCCTGTGGTTTGATTTGCCGCATATTTGCGAGGGCATAAGAATCCACTGTAAACTGTACACCGGAATCTACAATTTAAAGTGGTTTCCTAACCACTACAAACATCCATGGCACCACCGGTATTCGAACCCAAAACCAGTGGTATCGAGCGCCAGCGCGCTAACCAAACGGTCATCAAGCACATATTTTTTTTCTAAATGTCGAAAAGAAAAATAAATAAACTTTGCATACAAAATGGCAAAATGGTAGTTCTCGATTCTTCTTTGCTTACAAAATGGCAAAATGGTAGTTCTCGATTCTTCTTTGCTTACAAAATGGCAAAATGGTAGTTCTCGATTCTTCTTTGCTTACAAAATGGCAAACATGGTAGTTCTCGATTCTTCTTTGCTTACAAAATGGCAAACATGGTAGTTCTCGATTCTTCTTTGCTTACAAAATGGCAAACATGGTAGTTCTCGATTCTTCTTTGCTTACAAAATGGCAAACATGGTAGTTCTCGATTCTTCTTTGCTTACAAAATGGCAAACATGGGAGCTCTCGATTCTTCTTTGCTTACAAAATGGCAAACATGGGAGCTCTCGATTCTTCTTTGCTTACAAAATGGCAAACATGGGAGCTCTCGATTCTTCTTGCTTACAAAATGGCAAACATGGGAGCTCTCGATTCTTCTTGTCTTTCAAATGGTTCCCTAGATGTTGTCTTCTGTTGCTATTCACCTGAAAATTTTCTCCAGCACACATGTCTATTTTGTTCTGGTAAAGACGGGAGTGATGTGTAGCATTTGAATTGAGTGGACTCTGATCACCTTGGAACGTGAACTATCTATGGTTACAATCCGTTTAACTTGAAAAAAACACTCTATTACATTTTAGTTGCTTAAGAATTTCGCGCCAATACGGTTGATACGTAATATCTGGAGCGAAGGGACTGGTCACCTTGAAACCTGAACGGTCAATGGTTGACAGTTGAACCCTTTATCTTAAAGTATATCCTAACTGTTTACGGTTTTAGAGCCTTTAGGGTAAAGCAGGAGTGGCCAACGCAAATGATCTTGCGGGCCACTTTGGAAATGCACCCTAACTCCCCAACAGCATATAAAATTATCTATCCCAATATCAGATTTAGACTCACTATAGACATTTTTCTGAAGTGAGCAATTGAAGCATAATGAGTTATTACTTTTGTGTTTACTATTATTCTTACATGTAAACATGGATAATTTAATAAAACGCACATTGTAAAGAAATATATAACACTAAAAAGGAAATATACAAAATAGATAAATATAAAAGAAATAAAAAAAATGAAATCATTAATAAATATTTATTTTACTAGTGCGATAGTTGTTTCTCCACTTTTTCACTTAGCTTTTGCAAATCGATCTCAATTTGGGTATTGGCACATCGTAATGGGTGTTGCAGGTTAGCGACCGTTATGTTTTAGCGTGTTTTATGTTGGGTCAATTTCATTTTAGAAAAAAAAAACAATTCGCAGGTGTTGGTTGAACCAAAAGCGCTAACAACTTGAATTAAGAGTCTAGGGATGGTCACTGCGTCACTGAGGTCACTTAAAGTGAAACGTAAAACCTGTTATATTAAATGTTCCAAGATGCGCGCTCCTCATGAGTTCGCTGAATATAATTTAATTATTCTGCGAACTCATAACTCTAAATTCATAAATAAAACGGGCAGTATCTGTCATATGCTCGCAACAATATTATTTTAAAATCAAAGTAAATTTTTCTCATAATTTTGATAGTTATTTACTTTTTAATATACTGGATGCACACATAAAGTATTTTTTCAATACATTGGTTTTCACTACTTTTGCCATTATAAAATAAATATATTGTCTAAAAGTGTGATAAATCTCACGGAGGGGGGGGATTCAAGGCGGGCAGTGGGTTGCCCCCTAGTTTAAAGGGACCTATAGGAGTGAAACATAGTTCTGAATTTGGTCACTTCGAAATGGTTTCGAACGGACAAGGAAGATTTAAAACCAAAAAAAGGGGAAACTACAGTGAAAACAAAATTGGTGGCGCCACAGTTACTAGAGAACCACTTTATTTACGGTTTCCTGGCAGAATCAAGTACTTTAATTTATCGTTTTTGCTATTTCAGGAATTTTGTTGAGAATTTTAGCAAGTAAACATGGCGTAACATAGTCAAATCTGATTCTTGAGTAACGAAATTTCAGTTATTTATTCCTTCTAGAACGTGTTATTTATTTATTTTTAAAACTTTAACTCTAAATATGAACAAGGAATATGATGTAGTGTTTAATTTCACAAAATTTTAGAGTAAACCTCACAATTTAAGGATAAAATTATTAAATTATAAAGTATTTTATTTACATATTTATGCATTCAAGTGCTATAATTAGTGTAATTGAATTACTCATTATAGCGTAATTCATTCGCTTGTTTATATCGCCGTATAGGTGTTGACCCTCTTCGTATTACATATATGTATATATATATATATATATATATAATATATATATATTTATATATATATTTATATATACACTCTTGGGGCTTGATGACCGTGTGACTAACATTCTAGCGTTAGGTGCCATAAGTCTTCGGAGTGCCACAAGCAGTCGTGGCTGCGCCATGGTTGCTTGTATTGGTTCAGAGTTCACTTTAAGCCGTAGGTACCGGCTTAACGTGACTGAAGAGCGCTGGGCGTAGCTGAGCGCTGGGCCTAATAACCCTACCCCGTAAAGAGAAAACATCTCATTTTCGAAATTTGACAGCAAGCACATGACCTTTGCCCAACATGGGGATGTTGCGTCAATGAAGATATATGCTTTTAAAATAAATTGAATCAGTAGTGATCAACACTTTACACTGTTAACAAAAATAAATGAAATATTTGTAGCTAGCCCCTGTTAATTTTCATAAAACTGGTTAATTATTGCTATAAAATATACTGGTTTCAATTATCAGGGGCTTTAACTTGATGTCCTTCTCAGTTATGTAACATATTCAACGTTATCAAGAGTGCCCAAAAGCAGGCCGTCTATAGTGTATCTACATTTTGCCAACATAGTTTTTATTTTATACCTCTAAGGAATTTGATCCTCCTGCCATCGAGCTCAACAGAAGGACATTCTGACTTATAGATATATTTTGCCTATCCATCATAGACATGGAGCTATAATTAATAATATCCTAAGCATTATGTTTGCTGTTGTTTCTTATCTCTTTCAACCCACTTGGTTGGCTGCAACATCTAGACCAAGTCCATGAATCCGTGTGCCCTCATGGAAGGAGGGTAGAGGGGGGGCAGCTTCTGTTGGGATGGAGCACCCGTAGGTAGAAGTCTGACTTGGTTCCGCGTCGTTGAAAAAGGAGGCCAGTGTCTTAAGGGGAACTACCCTACAAATGCATCAGAAAACTCCCACCAGGTAGTCTGACTAGCGAGGCAAGATGCTGAACATCCCAAACGCTATAGAGACTCCACGTTTTTCGAAACAATGCCTACAACAAAACACCAACGGATTAAACCTCATCCTAAAGCTCATCCTAATGCTCCAGCTGCCACTGGGCCACAAGTCAATTGCTAAGCATTATTTGATTTAAAAAAATAAACTTTCTATTGATATATTACTAAAATAAAGTAAACCGAATAAATTATTAAACATAATATTTTAATTAATAATTGCAAAAGATGGTGTGGGGGAGGGGATGGTGATGGAATTTTTCCTTGCAAAAGTAAAACGTTTCGTTACATAAATTAAAAACTTCCTTATTATTTCAGATTTTGAGGCATTAAAAAAGGATAAGTATTTTATTATAAACAGTCACATTTAAGATAATAATAGGAAATTCTGTACTTGGAGTATTTTATTTTCCGTCTTTTGCTTTTATCAATGAAAATTAAACATTTTAATTAGATACTTAAAGATTTAATTAGAAAAATACTGACATTAAGTCTATTTCATAATACAATTAATTAAATTATTCTTATGTTTAAATACATAACTGATGTAATGTAATCATTATAGCATATGTGGTGGGGGAAATATTTTTGACAGCTATTATTAGAGAAATTACTTACTGCATAACATCATTAATTTGAATTCATAAAATGAAGCGTTAAAAACTTCCTGACACCAAATGCGCAACAAAATCAAGAAGTGAGTGTTAATTACAGAAATGACAGAACATCATTTTCTTTTTTCCTTTGAATAATGAGGACTATAGATCACCTGACCTGTCATACATTGTTTTCATTTCCTTTTATCAATAGTTTCAAAGCATAGGGAATATTGATCAGGAATCGGTAAAAGTAATGACCTTGTTAACTAGATTTCAATGAAAAGATAAAAGAAAATAATCATGAGGTATTTCCATTCTTTGTCTGAAAATTTCAGTTAATTTCGTTTTAAAAATTACACACTGTTTTGATGAGAAATTAATTATGGAAAATAAACGAAATGTATTGAATTGATAAAGAGATCTTACTAAATGTGACATTTCAGCTTTTCAATTTGCATCTCGTATGACAAGTTAAAATGAGATTATGAGCACATAATGTTGTTGTTGTTGTTTCTTATCCCACTTGGCTGGCCAAGCCCACGAGCCCATACGTGCTCATGATTGAAGGGGAAGGAAGCAGCTTCTGTTGTGATGGAGCACCCGTAGGTAGAAGCCTGACTTTTGCTCCGTGACGCTCTTACAGTCATATGAGACCGGGACCTACGGCTTAAAGTGGATTCCGAACCACTACAAACATCCATGGCACCGCCGGGATTCGAACCCGAAACCTGTGGCACCGAGCGCCAGACACTCGGCCATTCAGGTCCCAAATTTGCCAACGGCACGCAGTGTTCCCAGGTGGTCACCCACCCAAGTACTGACCGCGCCCAATGATGCTTGACTTCGGTGATCTAACGAGAACCGGGCACATAATGTAACAGACATAAGCATAGATGGAGTGAAAATTACAAATTATACGTTGAAGGATTTCACCAAACCGTAAAAGTAATTATCACAAAAAAGTTTAGTTTATGAAGTTAAAAAACAAAAGTTTAAAGTAGAGAAATGAAAGTATAAATATTAAATGAAAGTATATTTAGTAATTTATCGTTCAGTAGGTGCCGTAAAAAAATCACCAAATCCCAACGGCCCCTATTTTGCCATTTGACCGTATTGAAACTTAATTATTCAAAGCGTTTTCAAACTCTGATATTTAGAATCCACTTGCGGCATGTGTTACAGTCACTGTTTTCAGAAACAAGTATACACGATGGAATCTATGATAATATGTACAAACGTCTCGCATCTGTAGTCAAGCTATCTTGTTGGAGTTTATTGTGTGATTTCCTATACGTCACGAAATTGCGATGCAGACACTCCTAAGAATCGCAGCAGACACTCCTCCTCCTCTTAAAAGGCAAAATGAGGCAAAATAAAAGGGCAAATAAAGCAAAAATAAATGGGAACGAGGCTCATCAAAGCAAGGAAAGAAAAAAAAACATTTTTGATATTATAAATAAAAACTGAAATGAATTTCTTTCATTACACAGTAAACTTATGGCTTTCTATATCATCGTTTTCATACTTTTATTGTTAGTGCTCATTATACTTCTGTGTCCAAAAAGTAAGACCAATTTTCAATTTAAAATTCCCGGGTCTTATGGAATTTCAATTTTTTTTTCTTTTTTAGGTTGCTGGTACTGGCCTTGACATCTGTGTGAAATTGGACGTCAAAGTATTCATTAGTGTTTGAGTTACGCTTGAAGACGCTAAAACTGATTCCGACGATTTTTGAAACGTCTGAATTCATTGAGCAAAGAACTTGCATTCAATTTTGTTTGCGGAAATGTATAGAATGTTGCAGAAAGCATTCGGTGAACATTCCTATATCGGAAAAAATGTTTACAAGTGGTATAAACAGTTCAAAAGAAGGCAGAGAACGCGTTAAAGACGAAGAGCAATCTGGTCGACCACCCACCTCAACCGACGAAGCTCACGTCCAAAAAATTAAAGATTTGGCGCTTGCAAGTCGTCGATTTACATTAGAGACCTTGCTGATGATGTTGGAATTTCAAAAGGATCGGCCAATTCCATTTTGAGTCTCAAATGCGTCAAATCTCGATTAGTACCGGAAACACTGAATGTACCAGATCACACTGCATAGATTCTTAATGACTTTTTCGCCAAAAATGAAATACATATCGTTCCACAACCACCGTATTCACACCGTGGGACTTCTGGCTATTCCCTAAACTCAAAAGATTCAACGTGAATCGCCGCGCGCTTTGAAGGCCGTCCCTACCGATAACTTTTTAACATGCATTGAGGATTGGAGAAAAAGTTGGCATAAGTGCCTTGTGTCCGGAGGGGATTGCTGTGAAGGCGATGAAATAAATTTGGAAGAATAAATAAAGAGTTTTTGAAAAAAACAATAATTGGTCTTACTTTTTGGGCACAGTGGTATGAATATAACAATATAATTAATGTGTTGCCATATTAGCTATTAAGACATTAACCTCAATGTTATAAGTAATATTTTTCAAAAATTGGTACAGTTCTAACGATTTTTCTAAACTAGTACATTTTCTAAACAATGAAATAAAAAAATTTTTTGCTGCTTCTTTTCTAAAACGATAAAAATACTAATATATTCATCAAATGAATATAAAAATAAAAGTTTATAACAATGTGATTAAAATGTTGCCATATTAACTATTAAAACATTAATCTTATTATTATAAATAATGTCTTTCAAAAATTGGTACATTTTCTAAGCAATGAAATAAATAAAAAAAAATGTTTTTTCTGCTTCTTTTTAAAAAAGGTAAGAAATATTAATAAAATAGATTTTAAAAAAAAACTTGTTCTGTTTTCTTATATAAAACATTTCAATTATTCTTTCGCAAAAATAAATAATAAAATATTTTAAAAGACGCAATTTTTATTGGAAACACAAAACCAAACAGATATAGATTATGTTTTACATTTTTTTCATAACATTTTATCTTAAAATAAAATTAATAATTGCAGATTATAAAAATACATTTTTGCGTGTTATTTAATTAACTTCAACAAGGTTAATTTCATAAATTTTGCGATGAAAGTATTCAAATGAATTCACACAAAAATAACACGAATGCCAAAAAAATTATTTCTAAAGCATACGCTTCAAATGTTGTTAAATTGTCGTGTCGTTTCTATTAAATATGATAAACAGTCAATAAAAAATTTTCTTGGTTAAATTATATTAATTCCTTAATTTTAAATAAAATAATTAAAAGTTAAGCGTATAAACGCACGATTTCTCTATGAGAAGAAACCCTGGTTCAAATCATCATAAAGTCCTGTTTCGCCGCAATTCAGTGAACGTCATACTCTACATAATAGCTCACGTGATTCCTTCATCCAATGAGAGTCGTTTTTGTTTCATTCTGAACTTTGGCTTCCTGCAAGCAATGGTGTTGTCTAGCTGCTGTTCGCTCTGAACATGTTGAAGCGTGACGGTTTTTGTCTGAACATGTAGTGAGGCAAATCATTAATAGCTGTGAATTATATTATAATTGTCTTTCTGTGATTGTCTTTAGTACAAATAAATATTAATTAGTTGAATTTCAGTCTTCTTCATGTAGTATCTGTTGCCATCAACGGTATCAATCGCTGTTATGTAGTATCAGATACCATCATGCAGTCGCTATCATATCAATTGCCATCATGTAGTCGCTATCATAAGTATCAGTCGCTATCATGTAGTATCAATCGCCATCATGCAGTCGCTATCATCAGTATCAATTGCTATCATGTAGTCGCTATCATGTAGTATCAGTCTCCATCATGCAGTCGCTATCATCAGTATCAATTGCTATCATGTAGTATCAGTCGCCATCATGCAGTCGCTATCATCAGTATCAATTACTATCATGTAGTCGCTATCATGTAGTATCAGTCGCCATCATGCAGTCGCTATCATCAGTATCAATTGCTATCATGTAGTCGCTATCATGTAGTATCAGTCTCCATCATGCAGTCGCTATCATCAGTATCAATTGCTATCATGTAGTTGCTATCATGTAGTATCAGTCTCCATCATGCAGTCGCTATCATCAGTATCAATTGCTATCATGTAGTATCAGTCGCCATCATGCAGTCGCTATCATCAGTATCAATTGCTATCATGTAGTCGCTATCATGTAGTATCAGTCTCCATCATGCAGTCGCTATCATCAGTATCAATTGCTATCATGTAGTCGCTATCATGTAGTATCAGTCTCCATCATGCAGTCGCTATCATCAGTATCAATTGCTATCATGTAGTATCAGTCTCCATCATGCAGTCGCTATCATCAGTATCAATTGCTATCATGTAGTCGCTATCATGTAGTATCAGTCTCAATCATGCAGTCGCTATCATCAGTATCAATTGCTATCATGTAGTCGCTATCATGTAGTATCAGTCGCCATCATGCAGTCGCTATCATCAATATCAATTGCTATCATGTAGTCGCTATCATGTAGTATCAGTCTCCATCATGCAGTCGCTATCATCAGTATCAATTGCTATCATGTAGTCGCTATCATGTAGTATCAGTCTCCATCATGCAGTCGCTATCATCAGTATCAATTGCTATCATGTAGTATCAGTCTCCATCATGCAGTCGCTATCATCAGTATCAATTGCTATCATGTAGTCGCTATCATGTAGTATCAGTCTCCATCATGCAGTCGCTATCATCAGTATCAATTGCTATCATGTAGTCGCTATCATGTAGTATCAGTCTCCATCATGCAGTCGCTATCATCAGTATCAATTGCTATCATGTAGTCGCTATCATGTAGTATCAGTCTCCATCATGCAGTCGCTATCATCAGTATCAATTGCTATCATGTAGTCGCTATCATGTAGTATCAGTCGCCATCATGCAGTCGCTATCATCAATATCAATTGCTATCATGTAGTCGCTATCATGTAGTATCAGTCGCCATCATGCAGTCGCTATCATCAATATCAATTGCTATCATGTAGTATCTACCGTTCCAGTTAAGTAATATAATAATTGAAATTTCAATCTTCTCATGTAAAGGAATTTGAGCTAGGCTACAAACGTTGGATACTATTAGAGTTAATAAATAAATAAAAGTTTTAAAACAAAATATAAAAAAATAAGTGAGAAGAATACAATTCAACTTATGTATAAATCCAGATTTTAAATAATTTTCTAATTCACCATCGAAAATTTTATTTTATGTTGAATTAATAAAGAAATTCGAATTTCATTTTGAATTTTGGTATTACATATAAAAAAATATTGAATATATTATATAATTTTTATATGCTATTTAAATAATGTTTTGATATTTTGTTGTTGTAGTATTGTTGTTCTAATGCAACTGGCAATACAGAGACAGTTAATCTTTATGCCGTAATCAAGGGCTGCACCGCTGTTACCCATTTAGCACTACTCAGGGGACACATGTAACTTGAAGATATGTTACGGACGCGAGTAGCACTACCCCCACAACGATCTACGATCCTATTAGATCGGGACCTACGATTTAAAGTGGATTCCGAACCACCACGAACATCCATGGCACCCCCCAGGATAGCGCAACAGCGCTAGCCATTCAGTAGTCAAAGTTAAATAATTTCCATTTAAATGAGTTAAATAATTTCCTTTTTTTCCATTTAAATGAGTTATTATGGCAATATGATTGATCGATTGATCATAACACATTTTCCGTTAAAATTTTACACACATTTTCCGTAACACATTTTCCGTAACACCATGTATTTCAGTTTCAGTTAAATATTTACACCATGTATTTCAGTTTCAGTTAAATATTTACACCATCTATGTTAATAATTTTCAGAAATTTATAACACAGTATTAAAATTTTTTAACATTTTAAATGTTACAGAACCAATTTTTT